CTGCTGAAATAAAGATAAAAGCTTTCACACTTTATTAAAATGAACCAGATCAATATTATGGCATGTCCACAATGTGCAGTGCAATGTGATGGAGAGGCCTGCAAGCCATCACTTGGCCAAGCTCATGTATCTGCACAGCAGCACTGTAAAGAGAAGTCCCATCACCTTGCTGCCATGTCAGTGCCTGAGCCAAAAATTCCAACCCGCTCAGCCAGGCTTTGTAGCCTCCAGGTAGCCTTATACTGCTATGCTTGGTACTGGAACTGGCATCTTTGGCACAGTGCTCCATCTTTTTGGAAAGGCATGCTCTCATCTCGCCTAAAGGGTGGCGCTGAGGTGTCACAAGTGTTTGACTTTCCTGGATGTATGGTGTGACATAGTGGAATTAATGAAGGAGAAATTATCAGGAAAGATAATCTACTAAAGGTTGGAGCCTAACTGTTAAAAAACCCTTCCTCTCAGTGCGAAAACTCAACTCTATGTCCACAAGGCTTTTCTGTTTCCTACTCCCTCAAATTTCATCTACTGAAATGCTAGTGTGCCATCAAGAAGAGATGACTATGGAGGCAAATGTAAGCCTTACCTTTGATTAATTCTTTTCTTGTACCCACTACCTTTGTTAGTGTAATAGGTCTGCATTCATCCACTTTTTAAAGTAAATAGAATTATGATTGTAATCCAATTGCAGAAATTAGTAGATTTAGTGTAATAGCAAGACAATTTTGAACAAGGCAATGAAGCAATGAAAGGAATACAAAAAATAGTTTATATTAGGTGCAACCAATATATATTGTTCTCATGTTTTTCAGTTTTACAAAAAAATAATTACTACTTTCCTTGCATTAGTATGGAGATCAAGGCAGAAGCAAGGTTAATCACAGGGTGTTGTAAGGCTTGTAATTTGGCATCTTAAAACAAACCAGGGCTGTGCAAACAAGTAGGATTTTCTTTCATTTTGTAAATCTAGGTAAGCAAACCCAGGCCCGTAAAAAGTCTGTCAGAAAATGGAGGCCAGCATATTGACATGTTCTTATTTGTAGGAAAATGTTACATGCTTACTTTTCTGTGATGCCTGTTGTGCCATCTTGTGGCACAAGCTACTTCTGCTAAGGCTCTGTCAGGATGGCATTTGTAGCTAAGGAGTGGGTGAATGAGGTAATAAAGAGGTCAGTGATACTAGTGTTTCATTTTAAGAAGTTTCTGCTATATTTTATAGGAGAATTTAAGACAGCGTATTACTTTCATAGGAATGGAATTGGACCACTGACTTCTAGTTCTGGGGACTGTATCTCTGGAATACAGTAAAACTGAAAAATGAAATTTTTTACATTATATATGCACATATTAAAGCCTTATGTTGCAAACCAGACCATCTACCATTCTTTAAAGATAATTTCAAGAAGGAAATAGATTACTTTTTATTATTAAGGCAAAGATGTTTCTGGTAGCCCGCAAATATTTATGTCTGCTTTGCAAATACAGGAAATGGCAACAAAGACAAAGGAAGCTCACAAAACTGAAGAACTGTAATTGTTAACCTTTCCTCTTGCTTTCTTCAGGGTATTCTAGAGCGCTTAGACGCTGGAGAAATTGTGATTGGAGATGGAGGATTTGTTTTTGCTCTTGAAAAGAGGGGATATGTAAAAGCTGGGCCTTGGACTCCTGAAGCAACGGTAGAACACCCAGAAGCAGGTCAGTTTTACTGGGGAATGGTAATCCTGTAGTGAACGTAAACATGGTTGGATAAATAATAAATATGTAGGAGGCTGTAGCAAGTTTTTAAATAGAAGTGTTCCTTGACACTGCAGAATTACACTGTTAAGAATAGCCTAAGTATAGACTAAATACATATCTTACCCCTTTTTCTTGCTCTTAACACTGACCAAAAGCAGTTGGCTGAGTAAGTATATGAGTAGTGCAAACGTATAGTGTTACCTTTCCAGAATGCTCTCCCAGTTTTCAATAATTTGCAGCCCAGGGACTTTTTGACCCAGATATGGTATCTTTGTATTTAATAACATTCAGTGATTTCTCACTCATGGATTTGTCCAGTCTGTCCCTGAGCTGATATAAAGCTTATAATTTAAAACATCTTGTGAAAATGAATTCTGCAGTTAGCTATCTGTTTTGTTGTGTTCTAGCCAGTCTAGGACTTGTATATTGTTATAAATTAATATAGTTTGTTTATGAATTCTTTCAGGATAATAGCAGCTTTTAATAAACAATGGAATGGAAGAGGAGTATTTAATGTATCTGGCTCTGCTATGAAATAGAAAAAGATAAACCTCCTAAAAACCTAAGATTTGCAATAAACATTTAATGGAGTAACTCCCTTAAAGTGGAGGGAGACAAAACGAGCTATCATTCTATGCCTTCCAGCATAAAGATTATAGTGTTTAGCATAAACAGTGCAAAAGCAGATGCTATTATCTATTTATGTATGCTTCATTACAAGAAAGAATTTTCCCTAGTAATGTGATGTGCAGTTAATCCCACAAACCAACTCAGAATATCCTGGGGGGAAAAAAAGAGTTCTTTGTTCTGTTTTAAGTGTTTGCCCTTCCAAATTAGTCTTTTTCCTCTATACAGGGGGAAGAAGGAAGAGGAGGGGAAGAAAGAGAGATCTTAGCCCTCTGTATTACATTGCTTTGTACACCTTACCTATTTATTCACCCTAATCCTTGTCAGCCTTCAAGTGTCACTTTATGTATAGCATGCCTAACCTAGCATTGTGGACAGCCTTAGATAATGCAGAGGTTTAAAGGGTGATGACCTAATTTTCTGACTTCATCTCCCCAAAAGACAACTCATCACCTCTCTCTCTTTCTCTCCACCTCCACCTTTGTCTGCCCCTACATGTTCCATCTTACAAATCATAGCAGTTATCCCATGCTCTTTATTTCCCCTTTGGTTACTTTTTTTGCACCTCAGAGGCCCTTGACCTTCTCCACATGTCCTTTCAGGAAGTGCAGGTCTCAGTCTATGGGGTATTCAAGACATTGCTTTACACAGAGGCAGTTGCAGATGGCTTAGATTGACTAAATCAACACACAGACTTGCTTTAAGTGATCAGTAGTCATAGGTTAGAATCCAGCCTTGTAAGAATTACTACTGATTTGCTAGAACATGTTGCTCATGTCTGTAACAGAGTTATAAAATTTTTTTATAAGCCCCTTATAGGCTATTTATAAATACACCCTTTCCTGGAAATGTGTTCATTTCTTTTAGTGCAGTTCTTTAGTGTGCTGCCTCCCCTCCATTACTGCTTTTGCTCCTGCATGCTCAAGGGTCGTGTTACTTTGAAAGCAGGTGTAAAGGACAGAAGCAGCAACTGGCTGAGCCAGCTGGTGTAAAAACCATACAACTACCAGACCTTCTTGTCATTGCAAGGAAGGAGAGAAGAGGAGGGAGGTTCTCAGAATGCAGCAAGGAGTGTGTGTGTGGGGGGAAACCCTAACGCATTCAAGGCCACTATCTCCATTACAAGAGAAGTTTTGCCAGGCTGACAAGTTTAGAAAGGGGGTCTGAGTATTTCTGCTGACCCAGATCAGGTATTGCTCTCTAGGGAGCAATATGCATAGGTACTTACTGTCCCATCTGCTGTTAGCTTAAGTCTGTGGCTTTTGTGAAATGTCCAACTCACAGTGGACTGAAATGAAAACTCAGTGTTACACATCTGACTCCTAAAATGTATTAAATTGCTAATAATTGTTTAGCCTCATATATGGCTGTTAGCCCCCTTTCTCAAATAGTGGAGGAAAACACAGCTTCAGCAACATTCTAGAAGTCACACAAGAAGTAAATTACAGAGTAGTTTGTGATTTTGATAGTGCAGACTGCTGTGAGCTTGATAATAGTAATGGTATATTCTACTGGTAAAAATTATTTGCCTGGGGCTGAATGAGATACAGGATGATACTTGTAACACTATTCTTTCCCTCAAAATGTAGACCCATTCAAGAGTCTCCTGTTCATATACTTGATAGTTTGGGATATGAAGTTCCTTATTCATATGTGTTAAGATTATGTTTCATTTGCCTATCTGTGTGACAATTCTTATTCATGCAAATCCCAAGCATTCTTCTAGGAATGCAAGAACCATACTTAATTGGCACTAACCATGGGGTTAAAAAAATCTGATTTATTATGCAAATGTCACAGCATTTGTGGAAGATATTTGTAGAGTCTTTTTCCTTTTCCCATTTCTTGACTAGTTTTCATCGATGATTTCTCATGAAGGGGAATAGGAAAACAAACCACAGAACACTAGAACCATGTAGAGACAGCCCCTTCAGTTGGGATCTGTAGTCTATTTTAACACTGTGGGGAAAAAGAATACTCCTTGCACTAGGAATGTTTTGATTCTGCCTAAAAGTTGTAAGACTGAAATTTAATGTTGGTAGTTCAGGCAGATTCCAGGAACTTTTTGAACTGTAGCTTTGCTATAATCTATGTTCCTGGGTAGGTCTTTGTGACTGGTGGGAAGATAAGCATTGTAGTAAAATCACACTGTTGTTCTCCAAGTCTGTAATCAGAAATTAAATGCTGTACTAATGGAGAAAAGCAAGGGACACTAAACTGTTCCTTCACTGAAAGCAGATGTGCTTGCACATACGCAGATTGACTCTAGGAACTAAAACTGCTGTTTGAGCTTCTCTGGCATAGAAGGCTGTTTTTGTTGCAGCTGAAGGGAGTAATTTTTTTCTCATGACACATTCACACATTTTCCTAATGACACAGATTGTCTGTAGACAATGAAGTTATGAAAAAACAGGACTTCAGGAAAACTTTTCCAAGCATCTGCTACAGAAACTGCAGTGTTCTTGTGTCTGTTACAGTATCTAGAGAATAAATTATTCTGTATTTGCTGTAAGCTGTTCAGCATTTTAACTCTGTTTTACATGATCAGTAGTGTTCTAGAAATTATTAGAATTATTGTTCTGTGAGTATACACTTCAAATGAATTGGCAGCTCCTCTTCTGTTCCTGCTGTGGCAATTGCAGCAATGAAGGCAGAACTACCATTACAGAGCCTGCTCCCAAAGTCCAAATATAGGGAATTTGTCCATTAAAAGCAATGCCAACATTTCCTTCAAAAGAAGTGTTGGCTCTGTAGTAAAAATCATCATGTGCTGACTTATGAGAAGAATTAAGTCTGTTAGTGAGTCACTTTTCTGGAGAAAAAAAATAATATTTTAATTAAAGGTGTATTTAGCAAAATAAATCTTTGGTTTTGGCTGGCTAGACTCAGCTAGAGTTTTGTAGGGGGAGAAGACTAGAAAACACAAAATAGAGGACGTAATGGAACACTTTCTTCTATATAAGTATCATCTTTTCCCTTAATTTGTTGCCATGATACTTACTTCTGTTTGTCAGGTGTCTGCTTTCCCTTCCTAAACCACTATGCAGTTCAATAAAGTGAAATTTGGAAGTCTGAAGGACTGCAGAAAGTAGAAGATAGGCAAGGTGGCATGCAAAACTGAATCTACTGATAGACTAAATAGAAATCTTCAGTCATTCTTGGTAGAGGCCAACTAAGAAGAACGTTTTCTACCTAATATTCTGGGAGTGAGAAGAAAGGAATTCTATGTAGGCTGCGGTGCTGCTACTAGCTCTTCTAGTAAACACAGTATCACTTATTTTACTGTAACTTTACTTCAATAAACATTTAATTTTGGGATAACAACAGTAATTACTGTACCAAACATCTCTTCTTTCTCTCTTTTAATTCTTCGCAGTTCGTCAGCTTCACCGGGAATTCCTCAGAGCTGGATCCAATGTTCTGCAGACATTCACCTTTTATGCCAGTGAGGACAAACTAGAGAACCGGGGCAATTATGTAGCTGAGAAAATAAGTGTGAGTAAAACTCTGTTTTGATGGAGATATTAAATAAATGGATTCATTTCAAAAGGTTTAGTAGAGAGTTGAGTATGTTCACAACTTGTCAGAACAGTTTTGGCTATATTTGAGGGCCAAAGAATGAGATGATGCAGCTTCAGAGTTTGGAATAGCAAGAAAGACAAGGTTAAAGGACAAAAAAATGACAAAATGGGGCAAGGCTGGAGAGAGGAAAGAGGATGCCCACATTGTATTTTTCCCATCTGAGGAGATTAGTTTACTAGAGTTTTTGTATAAAGAGGATAAGGAGGACTAAATGCACAGAGAGCAAAATCAATTGAAAAAAAGAAATACTTTAACATCCAGAGAAACAAATCAACTGCAAAAATGTGAAGAATGCTAGAGAATAATGAGTGGCTAATGAGAACGGAATGTTTTTTAGAACCATGTCTTCAATAAAGTAATAACTAAAAAATCCAAGGTACACTGTAGTCAATACTCCACTTCTCATGTGTAAGGATAATCTGTTACAGCAACAGAAGTACCACACTGGTGTCATCTTACCTGCTACACAAAGGAGTTGTAGGATGTTGGGTGTGTTCACTAGGTGCAGGCCCCAGCTTCACTGGGACTCCTGGCACAAACATTTCTAGGTAGTTCCTTTGAGACTAGAAGGTTTGCCACTGAGTGTTTTCTCCAATCCTTTCCCCTTTGGTCATATTGTCTGCTTTAACCTCTGCAAGACAGAAGATTGTCCAGCAGGCAGGGAGGAAGAAATATATCTCAAGTAAGAAATTAGAACAATCTGGACACTAGGGAAACACTTGAGGCTTAATTAAGAGGTCGTACCAAAATATCATATGACCAAATTTATCTGAAATGCGGTACCCTTGAAATTCAATAGATGCGACATTGAAATGTCTGAAGAGGTAGGCCCAGAAACACAGTGCCTCTGGAACAAGCCATGCTGCAACTCTTGCTGCCGTGCAAAACTATAAGAAGTGGTGGGAGATCACCTGGTACTGGGAATGCATAGCAGCAAAGCTTTCAAGATTGATTTGCTGCCAGTTCTAGAAGCAGGTTCCTCCAAACTTTAACTGTTTATTGCTCCACCTCCCGGAGTTCCCAAACATGTACCTGAGCACAGTGCAAATGGAAGACAATCTGTCAGCAAAGCCTTAAAAATCAGCTGGGTCTTTTGAGGCAGCCACGGAAAACTTTAGCTGAGAGAAACCTATGTAGATTCTAGTAGTCCATGGGCTGCAGAGAAACCTGCTCTAATCAGTACTTGTTATCTATCCCCTATAACGATTCTTTTCCCAAAACTTTTTTTTCCCAGCTTAACCTCTTTTTCACAAGCTGTTCTAGTCATCCTGATTTAGGTATAGAAGGAATGTGTCTTTCAGTCAGGGTGATTAATTAAACATCTATAGTGATAAGTTTTCCTTTGCTATTCTTAAATTGTTAACTTTAACATCAGATAATTAATGATGTGTTTTTTTAAAATGACTTAAATAATTCTGTATGAATATTAAATATTCAATTTTGAAAATTATCAAAATACTAAAATACGTTAAAAATAATAAAAATCAATTTAAGTTACTATATATTTTGTTTTCCACCCACAAAATGTCAGAATAAAAGCATACACTTAAGTGTAACTAACTCATTTTCTAAGAGGCAAAGAAAATTCTGCTTCACACCAAATATTTTAGACTATTTGTGTAAGATGTATTAAAGGTAATATGTTTTTGTAATATTTGGTAATATGATAACTTAGAGATGGCAAGAAATTTGTTTCCTAATGTTTGTTATTTTTTGAAAGATGTTGATCTTCCTAATCAATATTATTAAATAATCCATTTAAACTATAAAAGAATATGAAGAAGCCATTATGGCTTTTGACTCTTTGTCATTTTTGTGCTATGAAATCACATGCCTATCTCTGACCAGGTAAAATTGACATAATCTGTACTCATACAGTGCCAGAAAGTGAATGAAGCTGCTTGTGACATTGCAAGAGAAGTGGCTAATGAAGGTGATGCTTTAGTGGCTGGAGGAGTCAGTCAAACACCATCATACTTAAGCTGCAAGGATAAAGCAGAGGTTAAAGCCGCCTTTCGAAAGCAACTAGAAGTCTTTATGAAGAAGAATGTGGACTTCCTCATTGCAGAGGTAAATCTGTAAAAGAAGTACATGCCTTCAACTGGTACAGTGTTAACCTTAAAGTTTCTAGTCTACTTCAGGAGTACAAGTATATATCGCTTCCTCCTTTAAAATTTTCTGTTATGTTTATATTCCAGTAGTATCAGATATTTTTCTAAATGCACAGTAGCAGCTGCAACTATCCTAGAGTAGGACCTTGAAACGTAAATTTGTGCCTCAGTCAAGTAAAATTCTGTACTGATACAAAGACAATAGATTAATGTGATTGTAACTAGTTCCTGTTTCCTCCTATACACGTAAGCAATCAACCTAAGGTGACTTTTCTAGATGAAAATAGTTCTTTGGGGATAAATCCCTCATTAACGTCCTATATGGGCACTCTTATTCTGAAACAAGAGTATCATTTTGTATTTAGTTTTACTAACTGACTTTAAAAAATTTTTTTTTTTAACTGTGTGGTCAGTGAACTCAATTGAATTCTGTCAGTGTAAATCAGAAAAGAATCAAGTCATTGTATTGCTGGTGAATTTGGGATCTGGATTGATGTGTTTATGCTTCATCTCCAAGAAACAAAAGTAGTCCAGTTTTAACTTCTTTCAGTATTTTGAACATGTTGAAGAGGCTGTCTGGGCAGTTGAAGTTTTAAAAGAATCTGGAAAGCCAGTTGCAGCTACGATGTGCATTGGTCCAGAAGGAGATATGCATGGTGTGCCCCCTGGACAATGTGCAGTCCAGCTGGTCAAAGCTGGTAAGAATCTGGTTTAATATACCCTTTAAAAGTATGGAACAAAGTAAAGTCCTTAAGCATTGAGACAAATGGATGTGTATCTCAAGTAGTTAGCTTCCCAAATATATCTGAGAGAAGTTTTGACCCTGTAGTAAAGTTTTAATATGTACTTTACTAGAGCAGTCTTGTAAAAAACATGAAAATGCAGCTATGAAATCCTTGTTAACCAGGATGGTATTGGGAGCAGTAGCCACAGGCAGTTGATACTGAAGAGAGCAAAATCCTAAACCTACTCAAAGTTGTTTACAGAGCCAGCCCCAAATTCTGGGCTCACAATAATGAAATATAAGCAGAATCCAAAGCCACCTTTGATTCTCTCCTCATGTTTTTAGAAATGTATGGAGTACAGTTCAAATCCAGGATGAGAGAATAAGAGGATGAAAAAAATATTTTTGCCTCTCAAAGGCTGTGTTTTCTGCAGGACAAGGGGAAGGGCAGAAGAAATTAATCAGGGGCATGATGAATGATGGTATAGGGTTTTATTATACCTGTTCTGAACTATTCCTTTGGAGTTAGAGTTAAAATCCAAAGGCAGAACCTGTGTTAGGAACCTGCTAGCTATTTGCATATGTGGCTATACTTAGTCAGTCTTCATTGGTTAAGCACTGATAAGCAACAGTATGAGGGTGGGAGATGTGTTTCATCATCAGGAAGGTAAAGTGGAATGCAACTGAGATGTAAATGGAATCATCAGCCTCAGGAGAGTTGAGGCTGGCTCTAACCCAACTGCCTTGTTTTCGTAATGGTGTAAAGATGGATTGCTCTGCTTCTGGAGCGATTGTGGCTAAGAACTTTCACCTCCCACTTCCTGGGGAGTTGTGACTTGAAGTTATTTTCCTCCTCCTAGGTGCTTCTATTGTTGGAGTCAACTGCCATTTTGATCCAGATACTTGCCTGGAAACTGTGAAACTGATGAAAGAGGGCTTGCAGTCTGCTAAACTGAAAGCCCACCTGATGTCTCAACCACTTGCTTTCCATACACCTGACTGTGGAAAGCAGGGTTTTATTGATCTTCCAGAATTTCCCTTTGGTAAGATAAGGATATCTTATTTATTTATTTGTTTGCTTATTTATTTATTTATTATTGTCTGTTCCTTTTCCCCCCAGCTTTTAGTAAAGCTGAAACTGCAATGTGTTCTTCTATACAATAGGATCAGTCCCAGTTTTCCTGTCTGGTATTTTCCATAGAGGATTTGCAGTGTAATATTGGATTAAAGATCATCCACGTAGTGAGAGTATTTCAGTAGTATCACAGCATGTGACTGAAAGTGAAATTATGATGAAAACAATTAAAGTACCACATCCTAAACTCAGTTTAAAAATTCAGTTCTTCCTTGTGCTATAGAACCACGTTCAGGACAGCTGTAAACAGTCCAAAGAAATGACCAAGAGGAAATACACTAAAACCAACCCAGACTTAAATGCTTTTACATTGGACCTCCACAGTGTTCTGGGTTATGACATCCATCCCACAAGCCCTATAGTGTTTACCTGCATAGGGATTTAATGTACAATGCATATGCAGAACTGGATATAGATGCATGATTATTGCACTCATAATAGTTCAGTTTTGCAAGTGTAACTGTCTAATATAAGTGAGATTAGAGAGAAACCAGAAGAGGGAATATGTTCTTTGGTATTGCTAACAAATGGATTAGCAGTTTGAAGATGGATTCATCACATGTATGCTCAGGAGAAATTCTACAAAGACTGAAAGATTCAGCCACTTTATGTGTATGAAGGCTTGTGTATTTAGGGCCTATTTCCACCTGGGATGTAGAAGCTCACATCCCTTTAAGATAAGAGGACAAAATCAGCCTAAACTTCTTAAAATTGATTTGAAAAATGCTTTCATATTCAGGTATCATACACTCTTCTTTCCAAGATCAGACTGTAAAATAAGGTATTAAAACATTTGAAATTTGAATTTGTAGCAAAAAATTTGAGATAGATGTGATTTTCAGGAAGATTTTTAATTCTTCTCTTTACATAAACAAAGGAAAGAGAATATGGCATGAGCCTGAGACATTCATTAAATGATAATAACATGTCTGAGTTCTGAAAATATTCTGGCATGTTTAAAAGTGTTAGGAACTCATTTATCCTATTCATTCCTTCATATAACTCCTCTGATTGCAAGCAAAAAAAAAAAAAAACAGATGCAGTAAGTAATCAAAGTGAATTGAAGGATTCACTCTTTGGTTTGTTATGGTTCTTGGCTTGTATGTTATAAGCAATCTGTATGAGATTTCAGAAATGTCATGAGTCAATTGGAGGAGGCTGGTTCTGTGAATGTTTTCAATACCTGGAAGGAGCAACTGATCACTTGACACCAGATAAGCAGTTTGGTAAATCATTGTTAAACTGACCCAGTTAACTATTTTTGTGGAAGGCAATACGCACAGAGAAGTATTTAGATATTTGAAGTGTACATAACCTCTGTACAGGCCAACAACATCTCAGTTTCTAGAAAAGCATTGGCTATTTTGTATTGGCAAACCCCAGCATCTAGATGCCAAAAGTATTTATTTATCTGTAGAACTTTTTCCAGTTTTCTGTGTTTTCCCTTCTGTGTTACTGCAATTGCTCTGAAATGTCACCGATCAAGCGAGGACAATGTTTTAGAAAGAAATGTCCCAGTCAGTCAAAGCATATCCAATTATCTCAAGATATATGTGTGTGTATATATATGGGGGAAAAATCTAGGAGCAGGTTAAAATCTTCTCATAAAAAATTGATGTACATTTCAATCTCTTTTTACTATAAACGTTAACATACATAAACTGTTAAGCTATAGATATTTAATTCTGAAAAAAGCCAAGAAAAGAAGTGCACTGACAGGCATGGAATTCCCGATTTTGGGAAGGGAAAAATCCCACAAAATGTTATCTATGTGGCAACTTCTTTTCATAGAATACTGCTTGTTTTCAATCACGATGTTTCACCACATATGTGGCCGGTTCTTACAGCAGGGTCTATCCCTGTTTCTTCAGAGAGGTTAGGTTGTTGCTGTCCTTACACTCCTGAAGCACAATGGCTGATGCACGGAATCGTAGAATGGTTTGGGTTGGAAGGGATCTTACTTAGTTCCAACCCCCCTGCCATGGGCAAGGAAACTTTCCACTAGATCAGCCCCATCCAACCTGGCCTTGAACACTTCCAGGGAGGGGGCATCCACAGCTTCTCTGGGCAACCTGTGCCAGTGCCTCACCACCCTCACAGTAAAGAATTCCTCCTAATATCTAATCTAAATCTACCCATTTTCAGTTTAAAACCATAACCCCTTGCCCTGTCACTACACTCTCTGATAAAGAGTCCCCCTCTGTCTTTCCTGTAGGCCCCCTTGAAGTACTAGAAGGCTGCTATAAGGTCTTCCCAAAGCCTTCTCTTCTCCTGGCTAAAAACCCCAACTGTCTCAGCCTTTCCTCGTAGAGGAGGTGCTCCAGCCCCCTGATCACCTTTGTGGCCTTCCTCTGGACCCACTCCAACAGGTCCATGTCTTCCTTATGCTGGGGGCCCCAGAGCTGAACACAGTACTCCAGGTGGGGTCTCATGAGAGTCAGGCTGAGGGCAAGAATCGCCTCCCTCAACCTGCTGACCACACTTCTTTTGACGCAGCCTAGGAGATGGTTGGCTTTCTGGGCTGCAACTGCACATTGTCAGCTCATTTTCAGTTTTTCATCCACCAGCACCCCCAAGTCCTTCTCTCCAGGGCTGCTGTCAATCCATTAATTGCCCAGGCTGTATCCATGTTTGTGATTGTCCCAACCCAGGTGTGGGACCTTAGACTTGGCCTTCATGACGTTTGCATGGGCCCACCTCTGTAGCCTGTCAAGGTCCCTCTGGATGGTGTCCCTTCACTCTAGAGTATCAACCACACCACTAAGCTTGGTGTCATCTGCAAACTTGCTGAGGGTACACTCGTTCCCACTGTCCATGTCCCCAACAAAGATGTTAAATAATATGGGTCCCAGTACAGACCCATGAGGGATACTACTCATCACTGATCTCCACCCAGACATTGAGCCGTTGACCGCAATTCTTTGAATGCAACCATCCAGCCAATGCCTTACCCACTGAGTAGTCCACCCATCAAATCCATACCTTTCCATTTTAGAGACAAGGATGTTGTGTGGGACAGTACCAAATGCTTAGCACGAGTCCAGGTAGGTGATATCAGTTGCTCTTCCCTTATCTACCAGTGCTGTATCCCTGTCATAGAAGGCTACCAAATTTGTCAGGCACAATTTGCCCTTAGTGAAGGTTCATCTCCTGCAGATGTACATAAAGAAGTGGGAGGATTTTTATTCCTTTATTCCTGTATTTCTGTTCCTTAAAGTTTCTTCTTCAGTCCCTGGTCTTTTCTTTTGAGTTCTGCCACTCTTGTGCCTTCTTCCCTTTGAGGTATGCTTTTTCTTCTTTTCACTTTCTGTTCCTTCCACAAGTCCTTCCTCTCAGCTGTTATCCCTTCACCCTGCTCTCCACAACCTGCAACAGGGTGAAGGGTTCAAAATAAAGATCGCGTCCTAACTTATCTATACATAGAACTTTCCACAAGGAACTAAGTGGTTTGAGGCAGCAAGCTGCTTGTGGCTGGGATTATAACTAAGGAAGAGATAGGCTAAGAAATAGCTACAGGTCCCAGCTGTCAGTGAAACAACAGGCTGCCACTAGCTGATCATGAAAAAAAGTGTAGTATGCATTCCTGAGGAATAATGAGCAGGCTTATTCCTGTTGCAGGTAGGCTGATACCTTCTCCTTCCACAGAGCAGAGTACTGTAATCAGATTTCCCAGATATTGATTGTTTATTAGGAACTCTTTGGAAATGCGGGCGCAACATTGAAAGTACTCCAACACTCCAGTTAAGAACTCTGGCAGAATGGCAAGCATGTGACTTAGGGCTGGATCAGTCTCAGAAGATATTAGGTGCTGTTTTGCAAGGCCAAAAAAGCTTACAACAAGCATAGCTCAGCAGAGCATAGCAGAATCTAGAAGACTTCTGAAAGTTTGCATCATTAATTCTAGTTCAAACAGTTCAAACATGTACATCTACATGTACAACCAGTTTTGCAAATGTATTGAAATGGAGCATGGTGGAAACTTAAGATATAAATGTCTTTGCAGGTCTGGAGCCAAGAATTGTAACCAGATGGGATATTCAAAAATATGCAAGAAAGGCTTATGACTTAGGAATTCGTTACATTGGAGGTTGCTGTGGATTTGAGCCATATCATGTCCGAGCAATAGCAGAGGAGCTGGCTCCTGAAAGAGGATTCTTGCCAGAAGCTTCTGAGAAACATGGTAGCTGGGGCGATAGCCTGAGCATGCATACCAAACCTTGGGTCAGAGCAAGGTACATATATTTGAACTGGAAAGCACACCGAAATATTCTTTGCAAAGGCTTATATTGGTCCATGCAGCAAACTGGCTTAACTGATACAGAGGTCTAAATATCACTGTAAATGTTCTATGTGTTAATAGTTTTGAAGAATTAAATCTGATCAAGAGGCAGGGAAAGGGGTGAAGGGGCAGTAGGAGAGCTCCAGAAATCCTCATCCCTCTTTAAAATGAAGATTTGGTCTGAATTAATATGAAAGTAATTAATGAAAGATAAGATCAAAACCTAAGAGACTGCTGTAAAACAGCTCCTGATGGTGAGTGGCTTACCATGTTCCTTTCAAGGGTGAAAAAATACCTTTTAAGCATGTAACATTTCACTGCATCCCTCTGTATCTAAATATAAAGTCCGTCTGTGCAAGTTAGATGACCTTTTGCAATGGTGATTTAAGCCACATTTTCTTTAGTATTGTGAGGTGCTGGAAAAGCCCCTAAAATTCCTTTTCTTTCTTTAGGGCAAGAAAAGAATACTGGGATAATCTGAAACCTGCTTCAGGCAGGCCGTATTGTCCTTCAATGTCAAAGCCAGATGGCTGGGGAGTGACCAAAGGAGCCAGGGAGCTGATGCAACAGAAAGAAGCAACAAGTGAACAACAGCTGAAGGAGCTCTTCCAGAAACAGAAGTTCTAATCCACTGCAGTTGTGCAAATGTTAGAATGATTTATCTACAAACCATCTCATTCTTCATGAGAAAATCTGTGAAGATGAGTACTCTGTTGATTTATCAGTTAACATGTAACAGAAGAGACAAAATGCAGAAATAATGTGATTACAAATGAAGTATGTCAAATTTTGGTAGTAAAATGTTTCTCTGGACAAATAGTTTATAGAGAATACACAGTCAGAAAAAGGTGTGGATTCTCATAATAACTGAGCTTCTCTTAGCTAGGTGCCATTAATTGGGTAGACACAGAAATACATGGATACTGTAATTGGCTCAACTCACCTGTGAAAAGAGAAAAAAACATCTATAAATATGGTATCAATGGACTTCCACTCCTGAGTCTTCTTTTCAGCCTGGGCTTAAGTAAGAGCTTTCCCAGACCTCAAGATTTGTTGGGGGCTACTTCAGGTACACACATGCTTCAGACACACAATTATCTATAGTTGCTTTCTTGACTTCAAGAGAATAAAAGTGAACTGGAAAATACATCTTGTAATTGGAATCAAAACATAAGGAGAATGAGATCTTGCAGGAGTTTCTTATATGCAGGAAAATGGTTCAGAGAAGTTTTAGGAAGAAAAAATGACAGGTAAAAATCTTACTGTTTTGTCTCAAAGTACCATATACACAAGATTTACTCCTCTGGAGACTAAAAGGCTTGAGGTTATTCTGAAATTTTTAAAAAATCAAATAAATGAAAAGTAATATGATGGAATAGTATTGTATTATCTCCACACCTTAAATAATAAGAGCTCAAACAGAATTGCATACCTCCAATAAACAACTAATTTTCAAATGATCCAGCTGATTTCTGGATATCTCATTGGAAACTCTTGATTATCTCAAAATAGCACTTAAAAACTGAAGCTTCCTAAAATATAACTGTTTATAAGAGTAGTAGAACATTCTGTGATTTTTTTTAAGCTGACTGATTTCACTCTAGAATTGTAGCTATAAGAAGACATGAAAAACCCTATTAGGAAGTAGATCAATCCACATAAGTTAAGAAAATCCATGGACATCTGTGCACTGAAATTAGGAAGGGTATGACTAAGCTTGAAACCAAAAAAGGACACATTTCCATAGTTTTTTTTTTGTGAAACGCCACACAACTTAGATTTCTTCCTAGAATCTCATTCCCACCCATTCTACATTAAAGCCACTACCTTTATGAAAATACCATTCTCAAAGTTAGTGTTGAAAGGTTTTGTGGGACTACTGTTTATGTATAAGCTTATTTCATTATTTCTATCCATGTTGACATTCTGCAGTTCAGGAAATGTTTAAATATGCAACACTTCAGTGGGAAACTTAAGGTATCCTTTTCAGACTGTTATTGGCAGACAGATTTCAGAAAAAGACATCTACCTTCACCAAGCTTATAACAGATTGAAATAGTTAACTAGCTGGAAATTTTGCCTGAAAGCCAAAAGCAGACAAATCAAGAAAGTGGATGTTTTAAAATGTAGGTTATTTGGAAAGCATCCATGTAAGTATATATGCACTACATTAAACTCTTTTCCTTCCTAAACTCTTCTGGATGTTCCCTGTACAGAAAGTGGAATAATGCAAAATCTGTAAAACAAGAAGGCCAGATCTTTAATCACCACCAAAATGCATGCAGCATTAAAGATGTATGAGTGATAAAGTGGCTTAAAATACAAGTTGCAATTGATGAAGAAGTGTTTTGAAAAAATCGTTACCAATTTAGGGACTTTCTGTGGCAAAGGATGCAGCTTGACCATCATACTCTACATAAGCAATTGGACTGATTTTTGAAACTGTCCAAACATGCAAAAATTTGTATTGAAGTGGATGACTTCACAACACAGAATATTGAAGAACCAAGGTATTTAAGAAGATGATCAAATGCGATTTAAGCATTTATTTTTAGATACCCCGTTCAAAAAGGACTAATTTTAACAGATGCTAACAATGACAAGAAATATTTAAAAGGCTATTTGAAGCCATTCGGAATGAGAGCTGACCCAAGGGGAAAGCTATACAATCCCTGTTTGATTCATTATCACAGGCTGGGCTTAGAAAGGAATTGACAGTGGGATGAAAAAAAGTTGGCAGGGTGCTTTATTGATCACTACAGAACCCCAAACTAGAAAAAAAACTTCAAAAACCTGCAACCCCCTCCCCATTAAAAAACAAAAAAAGCCCTGAGAAGAAAACCCAACAAAGCTTTATTTCCCATTTGTTTCTGTGTAACATCTTAGAGAGGAGTAAGGGAACTGTTAGATTTGTTAAAGCTTTCTAATTGTTTATTACATGATTTGTTAAGAAAATAAGGCAGCCTGACAACACAATCCTAGAAAATTTGTTTCTTTAGAAAGTCTGTCTGAAAACAGGTAGGGAGCGAAAGGGGCTTTAGAAGGTCAACTCCTGTATTTAGTACCCTAAGGCAGGATCAGCTATTCATAAGAGTAGACATTTGTTTAACCTGTTTGTAAACACTTCTAATGATGGAGCTTCCGTGCCAACCCCAGGCAGCCTGGTTACTTCACTCTTCTTAACAAATTTTTCCTGATTTGAATATTCCTTGATAGAATTTAAATCCATTAGTTCTTCCCAGCTTATTGCAGACATGGAGAATTCATTCCCTTTGTCTTTGATGAAGTTTTTTTATATATTTGGAGATTTACACACATTCCCTTGTTTCTCTCTCAACTGAACAGACCCAGTTCATTCATTCTTGTTCTGCGGCCTCTGTGATATATCATAAACCTAGAGATCACCTCCATCAGATCTTTTCCCAGAGTTCCCTACCTCTATGTTTTTTTTTTACCGGGAAATGAAGTGATCTCAGCCTTGGAAGTTCAGATCCAGAAGAGAAAATCCAAAGTCTTTGCTCTCTAAAGAATAAACCTTTACTCACAAGGCTGAATGTCAGGACAAGAGGGATCTGAACAGACTGTAAACTTCAGAAGCTACAAGCTCTCTGTGCTGCACAGGAGAAGATGGCTACATTTTTAGTCAGCTACAAACTTTTCCAGAACCCCATGCAAAAAAACCCCTAAAACCTTGCTGTTTAATGGTCAGGTGTTGGCCTGATTTATCTGGAAACTGCAGGAAAGCAAGGAGGGTTTTTTATAAAGAAAGAAATTTTGGAATAGGTACAAAATCACAGAAAACCCATTTTTTTTCCCCTGTTCTTCTGAAAAGAGAGTTTTCTAGGAATCCTACCAAATCTGAAATCTCCATGTACCACAAATTTCTTCCTAAAGCAGTTTGTAGCTCATTCCTTCTTTTTCAACTCTATACACAAATGCAGTGGCAGTTTCAGTGGCATTTTTTAACCTAAGCGTTAAAAGAACCAGATTCATACATCTGTCTTGTTCTACTTCATTGACTTTATAAAATATCAAACGTAAACTAATCTCATTTCATCCTGCAATGCGTTAAATTATTTTAAGTATAGACACCATTGAAATAGGATGGGCAGACTATTATCATAAAGTATGTTATTTCAGCATCTTGCTTTATTACAAAAATGCTTCATTATCTTTTTTTTTATGTTCCACTTTATTGAGAGAGACTGGTGTAATTTTTTATGAGATAGCAACCTCCACTACATAAAATTTCATGGAATTATGATACCAAATTCCATCAACGGTGTATACCTCTGTATATACACAACTCCTGAGACACACAGCAATCAATTTCATCTGAACTTTAGGAATCTGAAGATGCAACTTTCCATATATTTTGGTCAACTTCACCTCAGAGCTTCTGTCTTCAGTAAAGTTGTAAATCAGAAAAGAAAAGCAAATTTGGGTAACAGGACTTGATGCAATCACAGTGGAGTGTAGTTGCTAAGAAAAAATAAAAAGACTGTATTATTCTTCAGGTCAAGCAGCAGTGTTCTTCTGCCACATTTGGAAGGGAAGTCTTTTCCTGTAAAAGGAAAGGCTTGTATGCAGGAAAGTTTGCGTGTTCTTTTCAATTATGTCAGCTGGCTTGCTGGAAGAGCCTGCTGACTCCTCCTAAAAACCTTTCTGTAAAAAGCCATTTCTCAGTAGTATCATAGTATTACAGCTTCATGGAAAATCAAAGATGTGTCCTATTAAGACAAAAGCTTTTTAAAAAATCTTATTTCTCACCATATAATACCTGCTCGGGCTTTTTGTGCGTGACGAAATCCCACCAAATTGTATTTTAAATACACAGGCTTGTATTAATCTGTGCAAATACTGCCTCCTGGCGACCTTTTGTATGGCTACAGGGCGGGGGAAGGTGGGACCTCAAATGGCTTCTCAGGTTTGTGTACACAGATGGAAATCAGAGAAGCAATTCATTTCTACTGCATTTCAGCACAGACTCAATTACACCTGTATTTGTTACTTAACAGGGAAGTGTTTTCTTTACAAGAACTGTCAAAGCTAATTAAGTCTCCAATTGTGCAATGTTTCAGTCTTACTTTACTGCCAGAATAAAAGGGCTGGACTGAAGTTTTTCTTTGAAGATGGCCAGGTCAGCTCTTATTTTAAAAAATCATATGACATACAAAGTAGACAAACAGATTTTAAACTGTTAGGCACAGGACTGTGAAGAAAAAGGTTGGAGAAAAAGGTTGGAAGGTAATTAACAAATGTAAAACCTGCTTAAAATATATCTAAACACTACCTTCTCCTTGCCTTCCCTTTAACACTACTACAGAGTTCTTAATAGTTAAGAAATCTGCCTACTCGTGTGTTTGTCCTAGACAGCGAGTAATAGAGGCAAAGACACACCGTGTACAATAGAAAATTATGTACAACACTGCATCTACCACACAACAGGGCAGAATTCAGCTGATCTGACAGGCGTGCAGTGCTGCATCCACTGTAGTCACTGCTTTCTGTAGGGCTAGACCTTGACGGGTTTCTATCCTTGCTATCCTGGCAAGACTGCTCCATAAGCCAACAGCAAATTGAGGCTATATTCCTTAAACCGTCTACTGCCTTTCCTGATGCTTTTA